CTTGGGGGCCTCCTGGAAGCAGTTCCGAGGCTCTTGGGGCCCGGTTCAGTGCCTGTTGGGGGCCGTTTGGGGGGCTTTGGGGGGCCCCTCGGGAACCTCTTGGGGGCCACTGGCGGCGTCTTGGGGGCCTCCCAGGCGCCTCTTGGGGCCTCCTGGGGGCCTCTCGGGGCCGAGGGCCCAGAAAGTCCGTTCGGATCTCCCGGCTGGGCCCCTTCTTAAAGCCGTCTTGGGGCCCTCTTAGGCCATCTTGGGTGTCTCTTGGGCCGTCTTGGGTCCCTCTTGGGTTGTCTTGGGGTCTGTTGGGCCCTCATGGGCTGCGTTAAGGCGGTCTTCGGGGCTTTTTGGACTGTTTGGAGCGTCGGAAAAGCGAAAAGGTGTTTCTGCTAAAAATGTACGTTCCCAGAGGAATTGGAATTTGTTGCCCTCTTGGGGGCATTTTGATAGGCCTGTGGGAGGCGCCTTGAAGCGTCTTGGCGCCTTCTTGCGACACCTTGGGGCCATCTTTTTTGTTGTTGCCCTTACGGTTCGCTTCCCCCATATCGCGTTGCCAACCTGACCTGACAAGAACGGGAAGCGAATGTTCGAACGTTCGTTGCAGGTGTGGCATCACATGGGGACGTCAAAACTGGAACGCTTGTGCGAACAGGAGGGGGCTGCGCGGTGCCCGAGTCAAGGATCCCTCGAAAATATACGACGCTCGCGCTCCCGAGGCGCAGATCCCTCGCAAAGTACACGCGATACGCGCCTCCGAGGCCAGCGCAAAGTACTCTGGGTTCATGCCTCGGCGACCAGGACCCACAGAAGTGCAGCCAGATTCACGCCCTGGAACCGATATTACTTGTATTGTGCGCAAGCGGTCAGTTACCACGCGGCCCCCGCGTCCACCTTCAAGATCCCGAGCTATCCGCCGTCCCCTTGGGGTTCGGTCCGGCTGGCTTGCAGGGGGGGGGATCTGGTTAAACGGACTAGATCCCTCACCCCTCCCAGGAATGCCCAGGATGCCTCCGGCCGTCTCCGGCTATTCCAAGATGCTCCAAGACGGCCCATTATATTTTGAATACGACTGGCGATAACCCCAAGACGGTTCAAGAGGCCTGTAACATGAAGCCCTCTTGGATCCCTCTGGCGCCGTTTTCGGGCCCTCTTGAGCTGTCTTGGGGCTGTGTAACCCGAATTCGGGGTGAGGAGATGGAAAATTTAGTGACCTTCGAACCATCCCGCCACCGTGTCCGGGTATTGAGAATGAGACGAAGTGAAAGTTCGTTGGGCTCTCTTGGGAGGCTTCTCGCGGGCCGTTTTGGGTCCTCTTGGGGCCTCTTTGGGGCCTCTTGGAGGCCTTTTGAGGCGTCTTGGGGGCCTCTCGGGGGCCTCTTGGGACCTCTTGGGCGCCTCCTGGGGCCTCCTAGGGCCGTCTTTGGGCGGGATGCTCCGATTTCCGATTCGGGCTCTCCCTCTTGGGCCCCCCTCTTGGGGCCCTCGTTGGCCTTCTTGGGAGCCGCTTGGGCCGTCTTGGCGCCCTCTTCGGCCGTCTTGGGCGCCTCTTGAGAGTCTCTTGGGCCGTCGCGGGTCGGTCTTGGAGGACTCTTGGACCGTCTTCGACGCCGTGAAGACGAGAAAATCGCATATACTAAAAGAAAACGTTTCCCCATGGGAATTTGACGATTTTGGCCTCTTGGGCCCTCTTGGGGGTGCTCTTGGAGGCCTCTGGGGCCGTCATGCGGGCCCCCTGGAGCCGTCCTGAGGCCTTCTAGGGACCCTCTTGGGCGCTCCAAGAGACATCTGAACACAAAGGCGGCCTGGAGCCAACGCCAACTCCATTTTTTAGAGGATGTCCCGAGCAAACGGCCAATGTAGAAACCTGACCGGACAAGAACGGGAAGCGTCGCTTTAGTCCACCAAGCATGTGGAATATGCTCTGTTGTTGTTACGCCGCGAAGGTATGCCGTGGCGCGCGTGTCGGCGTGCGTGCGGGGTGTGTTTTGCTGTGTTCCTGTGTGTTCTGCCGTGCTCCTGTTCTGCCGTGCTTGTGTTCTGCCGTGCCTCTGTGTGCTCTGTGTGTTCTGCCGTGCTCCTGTATTCTGCCGTGCGGATCGTCGCGGTGGTCGTTTTGGCGGAGCTTCTGGGCGCGCACGGCAGAAAAAGACCAGAAGCACGGCAGAATAGGCCCGAAGAGCGAAGGAGCACGGCAGAAAAAGACCAGGAGCACTGTAGAATAGACCCCAAGAGCTAAGAAGCACGGCAGAATAGGCCCCAAGAGCGAAGGAGCAAACCAGAAGAAGACCAGGAACATGGCAGAAAGACTAGATAACTCGTCATTTTCGGCAGACTCCAGGGCGCTGTTGGAGCCATCTTGGGCTCCTTTGGGGGCTCTCATCTCTTCGTCTTGAAGCACTTCGAAAACAATGTCGAGGCGATGTTGCGAACATTTCATTTGTTGAGGATGTCACCAGCGCTCCTGCGTGTGCTGTCGTGCTCATGTGTGTTCTGCCGTGTTCCTGTGTGCTCTGTCTGTTTTGCCGTGCTCCTGCGTGTTCTGCCGTGCCCCTCTATGTTGTTCGGCAGAATCAACCCCAAGGGCTAAAGAACACGGCAGAGAAGGACCAGGAATACGGAACCCAAGAGCAAAGGACCATGGCAGAAGAAGACAAAGAGCACGGCAGAATAGCCCCAAGAGCGAAGGAGCACGGCAGAATAGGCCCCAGGAGCGAAGGAGCAGGATAGAAAAAACCAGGAGCACGGCAGAATAGACCATCTAGGACGATCTTCAGGGCTTTATTCCAACTCATTCCTTGAGAAAAGTCGCTTCGTCCACCAAGCATGTGAAACGAAATATGCAATGTTCCTGTGTGTTCTGCCGTGCTCCTGCGTGGTCTGCCGTGTTCCTGTGTGTTCTGTCGTACTCCTGTGCATTCTGCCGCGCTCTTGTGTGTTCTGCCATGCTCCTACTTGTTCTGCCATGCTCCTGCGTGTGCTGCCGTGCTCCTGTGTGTTTTGCCGTGTTCCTGTGTGCTCTGTCTGTTTTGCCGTGTTCTTGCGTGTTCTGCCGTGCCCCTCTATGTTCGGCAAAATCAATTCCAAGAGCTAAAGAGCACGGCAAACAGAACTAAGAATACGAACCTCAATCGCAATGGACCACGGCAAAACAAGACAAAGCGCACGGCATAATAGACCCCAAGACCGAAGGAGCACGGCAAATTAGGCCCCAGGAGCGAAGGAGCATGATAGAAAAAAGAACAGGAGCACGACAAAATAGACCCCAAGAGCTGAGGAGCACGGCAGAATAGGCGCCAGGAAAGAAGGAACATTGCAAAACGCGACCAGTGACCAGGAGCATGGCAAAATAGACCGCAAGAGCTAAAGAGCACGGCAAAATAGATGCAATAATACGGCATAATACGCCCCAAGGAAGGAGTATGCAAGAAAAAGACAAGGAGCACGGCAGAACAAACCCCGAAATCGAAGGAGCACGGCAGAATATGCCCCAAGAGCTAAGGAGCACGGCAGAAAACGACCAGGAGCACGGCATCATAAGCCCCAAGAACAGAAAGGATTGTGACAGAAAATGGCCAGGAGCATGGCAGAATAGGCCCGAAGAGCGAAGGAGCACGGCACAAAAAAAACAAGGAGCATTTCAGAATAGACCCCAGGAACGAAAGAGCACGGCAGAATAGACGTCAAGAGCGAAGGAGCACGGCAAAACTGCTCATTCTCTGCCTTGCTCTTTTTTCGCCGGCCATGCTCCGCCCGATTTGTTTGAGGATGTATGCAGCGAGAGCGCGATTTTTGACACGAGAGGTAGTAAAAACGCAACTCCAAGATATCATTGTTGTTAACATGTCTCAGGCGAGACACCCGTTTTTGAACATCTGTCGAATTCGCGGCTTCCCATTTTTAAGGGATGTCTCAGGCGAAACGCTCATTTTTGATGAAATCGATGTTGTGAACATTTCATTATTGTAAGGATGTCTCAGACGAAATCGCCATTTTGGATCGTCTCGAGGGCTGAAGCCCGCGCGGTGGAGTTGGTGGAGTTGGTGGAGTTTGAGAATGGGTGGAGATGGTGGGGATGGTTGAGTTGGACGACCCAAGAAACCCACGAAACCAACACTATAGGTAGAATTAGCCCTCTCACATGTATGTATGTATGTAGGTAGGTAGGTAGGTATGTATGTATGTATGTATGTATGTATGTGTGTATGTATATATATATATAAATGTATATATGTATGTGTGTGCGCCAGCGGACTTATCTATCTATATATATATATAGAGAGATAGATAGATCGATAGATAGACAGACAGACATATATATATATAGATAGGTATATTGATAGATAGATAGATAGATAGATAGATAGATAGATAGATAGATAGATAGATAGATAGATATATATTATAAGCGCGGACCATCGATGAGCATCGCACCACCACGTGAGTCCTCTCGGTGCAAGACTGGAGCTCCAACCCAACCACTCAGACATATACATATAGAACGATATATCGATATATTGATTTATATATATATACAAATGTATATATCTATCTATATCTATATATATAGATAGATAGAGAGATATATATACATATAGATAGATATATATATAGATAGATAGATAGATAGATAGATAGATCGATAGATATATAGATAGATATATAGATAGATAGATAGATGTATAAATATATATAAATAAATATATATATATATATATATATATATAAAAATAAAAGATAGATAGTGCATGTGGTGAATGTGTCTATATGCATGTATACATGTACAGTTCTTTCGAAATACGCCCATATATTTATAGTCAGGTACATCAAGACACACATATATCCATATACATATACATATACATATACATATATACATATACAGATACATACATGTGTATGTATGTGTGCGTGAGGAGGATGAGTGCGGCCATCAGAGCCTGCCCGCGTTCCGCGGCACAGAGGAAGGGTAAGGTGGGCACGTGGCGCCGGCAGCCGCGCGGCAGCGCACCTCCGAGAGGCTCCCCGTCGCCGAGTGAAGCGCGTGGCGTGGGCCGCCGGGCGCGGCGCTCGCCCTGCCCTCCCTCCCTCTCCGCCTCATCCTCCTCCCCCCTCCTCCTCCCTCCTCCTCCTCCTCCTCCTCCCCTCCTTCCCTCTCCTCCTCCTCCTCCTCTCCTCCTCTCCGCCTCCCTTCCTCCTCCTCCTCCGCCTCCTCCTCCTCCTCCTCCCTCCTCCTCCTCTCCCGCCTCCTCCTCCTCATCCTCCTCCTCCTTCCTCCTCCCTCATCCCCGTCCTCCTCCTCCGCCTCCTCCTCCTCCTCCTCCTCCTCCTCCTCCTCCGCCACGACGACGACGACCACGACCACGACGACGACGACGACGACGACGACGACGACGCTCGCCCTGCCCACCGCCATCTCGCCCGCGGAGCGCTCGCCTGCGCTCTTTTGCCGCGCCGGGCCACGGCAGGTTCGGCGACTCCGAAGGGTGCGGCTTGTAAGGGGCTCGGTTTTCGGCGGCGAACCCTGGGAGGAAGTGAGAAGGGGCGAGCCCAAGGCTCAAGGTTTTCGCGCGTCGTCGTCGGTTCTCGGCGGCTTTCCAACCTCGGGATGCACTCCAGTAGCTGCGCCTCGCCGAGGGTGTTCCAGGGGTGCCCAGATCGCTCCGAACTGCCACTGGGGAGCCCATTTGCGACAGAAAAAACAACCAAGAAGGGGTGGGCCTTCTCAGAAGGCTCGCCAGTCCACTGGCCTTCTGAGAAGTTGTCTAAGCCCTCTCCGAAGACACAGACGCCTTCCCAGAAGGCGCGAGGGCTTCGGAGAAGTCCCGCCGCCTTCTGAGAAGGCCTTCTCCTTCTCACTTTCCCCCCTCGCTCGCCGAGGTTTGCCACGGGCAGCCTGGGGGCCAGGCGAGGACCTCGACAGAGATCTCCGCCGCGCCCCGACGAGGGCTTATCAAGCCTTCGGCGCAGAGTGGTGACCCCTAAGCCCCAACGGCGCCGATCGCAAACCACACCCTGGCGCAACCGCACCATTTGTCGTCGCCGACAGGTGCGCTGGCGCACGGCCGGAGGCATGGGCGCACCCTACAGGGACTGCACCTCCTGCTCCCCGTCCTCCTCGGCGGGCTGCTTCGGCCACGCGCTGAACGCGGTGAAGGACGCCATGTTCCCGACCTAGACATCGGGCGTCTCGAAAAAATCGAGACGCAGGTGTTTCAATGTGTTTTGCCTCTCGGGGCCCTCGCCGGGCCTCAGGACCGTCAAAAAACGACTCGGGATGAAAAACCGGTCCCGGGGAAGTGGTCGGGAGGTCGGGGGCCCGCGTCTCGAAAAAATCGAGACGTCGGATGTCTGGGGACCACGCCCACGCACATCAGATACTTCAGGGACCCCTCCGGCAGCGTCTCCAGGCCCAGGAGCAGGGCCAGGCCGATGGCCGCAACCTTGTTGAAGTTGGCGGCGAAGGACGCAAAGTACGGGGAGAGGCCCTTGACGATGTTGTACAGCAGGAGGTTGTAGGCGAGGGCCCAGATGCCAGACATCATCACCAGCACAACGGTGCCAGGGCTCAGGTGGGCGACCTCGACGGCCACGCTGAAGTCCGTGGCCGCGTTGTGCCCCGGGTAGGCGACGGGGTGCTTGATGATGTAGATGGGCAGCAGCAGCAGCGCGACCACTGGAATGGCCATGTACAGAAGCGAATCAATGGAGTTCAGCTGGAACCCGTTCCCAAGAATCCGCCACCGAGCCTCCTGGCACGTTGAGGCGTCCTAGAATGCCAGGTGCGGCCTCGCCGCGCGCACCTGCCTCGAAGAGAGGCCCCCGAGAGGCCTCCCGCGAGATCGCAACGAACATCCAAGAGGCTTCACACCCACAACCCAGGCACGGCGGCGGGACTTGCCGTAGGCAGCTGGATCACCACCACGATGAGCTCCATGGAGGAGAAGACGAGGGAGCAGAGGCACAGGGCCAGGCCCAGCGTGTCGGTACCGCTCTCGCCGTAGCCCAGCGACTTCTTTAGGGGAACAAACAATGGCATAAACATAGAAAACTCGGAGGTCCGCGCGGATTTCTCGGATCGGCGCTGGGGCCCCCCGGCGGCGCCTCCGGCGCCGCCCCTGGCGCGCTCCGCGCGCCAGGGAGGGGGGTCCAGCGCCGATCCGAGACATCCGCGCGGACCTCCGAGTTGTTATGTTTATGCCACTTTTTCTTCCCCCTATTCTTCCCTGCGTACTTCGAGACAACCACCAGCATCGCGCAGATGACACCGAGCAGCATCATGCCTATCTTCGCAGGGCGCGTGTCGATGCCGTCGTTGAACCAGCGGCGGAAGCACAGCTGCAGGACAAGGGACGTCAGCGGGCTCAGGGACCGGACCATGACGTTGACGGACATGTCCAGGAGCGAGAGGCTGAAGTTGTTGAGGGCGATGTTCAGGGTGAAGCACACTGCGAGGGCCATCACTGCCAGGACCTGCTCCTTGCTGGCGATCGTCTTCGGCCTGTAGGCCCACGGCGTCAGCTGGGACACGAGGATCCCCAGCGCGAGCAGGCAGAACCCTACGAGCTGCTGCAGGGCCGTGAGGACCAGGGGTGCCTGGAAGCCCCGCATGTGCAGTTCCTTGGGAGGAGGAGGAGGAGGAGGAGGAGGAGGAGGAGAAGGAGGAGGCGGAGGCGGAGGAGGTGGAGGTGGAGGAGGAGGCGGGGAGAGGAGACAGAGGAGAGGAGGAGGAGGAGGAGGAGGAGGAGGAGGAGGCGGAAGAGGAGGAGGAGGAGGAGGAGGAGGACGAGGAGGACGAGGAGGAGGAGGACGAGGAGGAGGAGGAAGAGGAGGCGGCATGGGAGGACCAGAGCAAACCCGAAATGCACCCGCGATGCTGCAAGACGCCCTCCCGTTCCAGGCTCCATCCTCAGAGTCCCTGCGAGCGTTCCCTCTCACAACAAGAGGCGGCCTGTGGGCCTGTCGTTCAGGCGAGAGCACCCGTTCTGACAAAGCAACTGCCTTGCATCCGAACAGCGCGCAATCAGGAATGCGAAAGGATACGACTATGCAACTCGACGGCATGTCCAACGAGGAAGAGAGAGAGAGAGAGAGAAAGAAAGACAGAGAGAGAGAGAGAGAGAGAGATAGAGAGATATAAACACACACACACACACACGCGCGCCCGTGTAAATGTTGCACCCGTTGGCACGTCTGGTCATGAATATGATGAGGTCTCAAGCGAGAGCCCAATGTTGAAAAGGAATCGCCTTCGTCAGTGCAGAGGCTGCATCTGTTGAAGTTTGCGGCCTGCAAGTGTAAGGTAGTTTAAGGTGAGAGCTCCGTCTTAATGACTGCTGAAAGCTTCAAAACTGAATGTGCGCGGCGCTCAGGCGAGAGATCTATTTTGGAAGCGTCGCCCGCCTCCATCCGTCTAGTTGTTGGTGCTAAAATGAGAACCATCATTTGAGAACGACGACCTGTGCTCCATCCGTGTCACTTTAAGTCGCTGAGGCGAAGCGCACGGCCAGCCCTACCGACACGTCTGGGGGGTCGGCTGGGAGAAATTACCTCCACGGGAAACGAATGGAGGGAGGAGGGAGCAGCAAGAGGGGCGGAAGAGGAGGGAGGAGAAGAGGAGGGAGGAGGAAGAGGAAGGAGGAGGAGGAGGAGGAGGAGAAGAGGAGGGAGGAGTCGAGTGCGAAATGGCTAGAGGAAGGAGGAGAGGAGGAGGAGGAGGAAGAGGAGGGAGGAGGCAGTGGAAGGAGGAGGAGGAGGAGGAGAAGGAGGAGGAGGAGTAGGAGTAGGAGGTGGAGGAGAGGAGCGAGGGGCAACGAGAATGGGGCGGGGGGGCAAAGGCTCAAGGGTGGGGGGGGGGGGAGGGGGCGGGGGGAAACATCGGGCTGGAAGCTGCGATACACCGCCGACGGCCTGGCGCTAATTGAGTCCCCGATGGCAGACCCGCGCGCACCCGGGCGGGGCGGGCCATCCGGGCCCCCCTCGACGAGGAGCGGGCGATCGGAGGTCCACGCGTGGGCGACAGGCCCCCCGACGGCGAGCCCGCGCGCTCCTGGGCGGCGGCGGGGGGGGAGGCCACCCGGGCCCTCGTCGACGAGGAGTGGGCCACGGGGGGGCCTAGGCGTCGCCCCCCCCCCCCCGAGCCTCCGAGGTGGGCGGAGACGACGTGGCCCCGTGCGAACCTCGCCCCGCCACCCCGCGATCTCTCAAAGGGGGGAGGTCGGCGGGGTGGCGGGGTAAAGGCTCGCACGCGGCCTCCGACCGAGCGAGGAGGGGCCTGGGACACCATCGAGTTGGACAGGACCGCCTTCATGTAGAGGTTCATGAACCTGCAGTCGAGCACAGGAGCAGGGAGAACATCTAGGAGAACAAAAAGTGGCATAAGCATAAAAACTCGGAGGTCCGCGCGGATCTCTCGGATCGGCGCTGGGGCTCCCCGGCGGCGCCTCCGGCGCCGCCTCTGGCGCGCTCCGCGCGCCAAGGATGGGGGTCCAGCGCCGATCCGAGAAATCCGCGCGGACCT